TACCAGTATACTAGTATATCTAAATATTTATAAAACATGCAACTGTGGGCTAATGTGTCAGACTGCAAAGTCAAGTGGTTCAAGCTCACTAGCTTCTCCTTGAAAACCTGATACAGGGTCCCTATGGGTCAGAGTTAACTCAAAGGCACTTAACAACAACAACAACAAGTATACTAGAAGAACAGAAAAAAAAGAATGAAAAAACTCCAAAGAAAGTCTTAAGAGTTATATGGGACACCATGCAGATGAACGTTTATGGGTGATCGGAATTCCAGAACAGAAAGCAACAATAAAAAGCACAGAGAAAATTGCCAAAGAGTTGTTGGAAGAAAAGTTACCCAGCATCATGAAAGGCAAGAAGATAAGCATACAAGAAACTGAATAAAGTCAAACAGGATAGATCTCAAAAGAAAATCACCAAGTTATATCATAATCAAACTTTCCAAAACCAGACAAGGAACGAGTCGTGAGAGCAGGTTGGGAAAAATGAAAAGTTACTTACAAAAGAGAACCAGTAAGACTAACTCTGTTTTCTCAGCAGAAAACATGCAGGCAAAAAGGTAATGGGATGACATACACAAAACTCATAAAGAAAAAAATTTGCCAACCAAGAATCACATACCCAGCAAAGCTGTCCCTCAGATACGATAGAGATATTGGGCCATTTCCTGATAAATAAAAATTAAAAGGAACTTGTAATGACAAGACCAACTTTACAAAAAATTCTAAAGGATGTTCTTTGGACTGAGAATCAACCACAGCAGACAACAACTTGAGATTACCATATATGGCAACACCACCCAAAACACAATCCAAATACGTTGTTGTTGTTAAGTGTTGTTGAGTCGGTTCCAACTCATAGCAACCCTGTATAGGGTTTCTGAGGAGCAGCTGGTGAGCTTGAACCTCTGACCATTAGTTCAAACTGACCTTGCAGTCCAGTGCATTAACCCACAGTGCCACACCAGGGCTCCAGATATAGCATTATTTAAAGTAAAACAAACCTACAAGAGGAAAAATAGAAAACAAGAGATAACAATTTATAATGAAGTCAACTATAGATGAAACAGAGAAGATACAGAACTCCCTCCAAAACGGTAAGAAAGTCAAGTAGATTTCAAGATAAAATAGACCGTCTAAAATAGGGAAAAATTTAATAAATTACAGGGTAACCTAAAATATACCCTGAACATTAATATACACCTGCACATTAAAAAAAAAGAAAGAAAACCAGAAAGACTTAGTAAACATTAACACAACAGAAATGAAAAGTAAACCCACAAACAAAATTAACTCAGCATAGAAAATTATGTGGAACAAAGAAACCAGCAGCACCCCCCCACACACACACACACAAAACCACACAGCAAAATGATGCAATCAATTTATACCTATTGATAATTACACTGCATTTAAATGGATTAAATACATCAGTCAAGAGATAGAGAATGGATAAGAAAGCATGATCCTTCAATATGCTATCTACAAGAGACTCACCAAAAAGAAAGAAACAACTAAATGTTCATCAACAAAATAATGGTTAAACAAACTTTGGCACATATACACAATGGAATACTATGCAACACTGAAGAATAACAATGAATGTGAAACACCTCACAACAACGATGGACCTGGAGGACATTATGCTAAGTGAAGTCAATCACAAAAGGACAAATGTTGTATTTGACCAATGTTGTAAAAAAGTAAAGAAAAGATTTTATTAAAAGAAACAATCTATGATGGTTATGGGAGGAGAGAGGGGGTAAATTATTTATGGGCTAGAGGGCAGACACATGTTAACATGGATGACAGAGCAGGCAATATACAACACGAGGGAGTTTAGCAGAGCAAAGATGAAGGCAATGGTAGACACAGAGAAGAATGCAATAGTTAAAGTGAATAGAGGTAAGTACTGTTAACTGATGGTACATGGAGAGGACTGCAATCATTGTAATGAAGCAAAGTATGTAATTTGCTAATGTAAAGCTAATGATCTGCTCTGTCAACCTTCACTCAATTCATAATAAAAACATCCCCAAAGACAGCAGATCTTGAAATGGAATCTAATTGAAAACAGACCAAGAATATGTCAGTCAGAAGTATGTGACGGTTGGCGTGGTCATCCATGGGAGTAAATGCTCAGTCTAACACATTCCATGTGACCAACAAGGCCACTATGAGCATCCTGTGGGCCATCTACTGTGGAGTCCAAGGCCCCGAAGCATTCCTGTCATAGAATTTGCTGCCCCGTTCTATTGCTCTAATAATTTGCCTTCTCATATCATTTGTGTCTCATAAAAAGATGTGCTTGTCAGGCTAATGAAAATATCTGGTATGTGAGACTTCTATTTGTCAAAGGCATTTAAGAAACTGATGATTTAATTTCTATATCCACCTGTTTTGAGTATGCTAGTGTGGGTTAGCATCCCAAAGTTCTTAACTTCAACACAGAGATGAATCTGGGCTTCTGACTCTGAAAGGCTGGCAGCTCAGCCCCTGGCCAGGGATGAGTTCTGGGAGGGAAGCACCACTTTGACTCTGCGGCTAGTTTCTTCAGGTGCTAAGAGACACGTCCATAAAGACTTCCTTCACAGCAGTGATAATGGATTTGAAAGTACCCACAAATGGAAATGAGCCACCACTTCCCTGTCATGTAATGAACTGAGTAAAGCTAGCAGACACATGTGGCAAAAAGCAAAGTTGGGGTTCAGCCTGGTTCTCTGACTCATGAGCTTGGGTTAGGTTGACTCAGTTGTTTCTCTGACGATATCTCTCTTGTTCTTAAATTCACACTGTCATTATCCATAATTTCTCTAACTGGGGCCCAGAGGGGCCTCACCTATTTGATAGGCCTCAGATCTTCAGCAACTATCCCTACTGAGAAGACAATACAAATTACCTCATGTGCATATATGTGGGGTGGGGCTGGGGGATAGAAAGAATATCCCCGTAATAAGAACCAGATGGGAACTGCAGTGCCTACAGTAGAGATTTATAGAGCCAAAGACACTTAGTGCATTATTACAAATTCCATACTTCTAGATTTTGAAAGGGTTTCTTCATCAGTGGTACTGTTGTTGTTGTTGCAAGTGCCATCGAGTTGATTCCGATCCATAGCGACCCTGTATAGGTTTCTGAGGAGCGACTGGTGAGCTTGAACTGACGACCTTGTGGTTCAAAGCAACTTTGCAGTCCAATGTATTAGCTCACAGTGCCACACCAGGACTCCAGCAATAGTACTATTGGGCTTCAAAAAGTTTATGGAAAAAACGGAATGAAGAGATAATGGAATTTTTCTACAAGTCTTTTGAAGCTCCCTCGTATATCATGTTATATTTTTCCCTTCTAGCCTCATAGCCACTCAATACTTTCTAAAACCATCCCTAAAGGTTGTTAGGGAGTGTAAGAGAGCACATTTTGGTTTAATATATGGGAGACATTTGTAGCTGTCCAGAGATGAAATGTGTCGCCTCAGAAAGTAGTGAATTTCTCATCATTGGAGATGAAACACATATACATTGTTGTTGTTAAGTGCCGTCGAGTCAATTCTGACCCATAGCGACCCTGCATAGGGTTTCCGAGGAGCAGCTAGTGAGCTTGAACTGTCAACCTTACATTTAGGCAATGTCTTTTCCAATATAAGACCTTGGATCGATAAGATGACTACCCTTTAAGATCACACTCACCATTTGATTCCCCAAGTTTATGCTGCCTAATGTGTCGCTGTGGGGTTTTGGTGTGGCATGGTAGGATAAGCACTGAACTGCTAACTGTAAGGTTGGCGGTTCAAAACCACCAGCCGCTCCTCAGAAACCCTGTACAGGGTCACTAGGAGTCAGAACTGACGTGATGGCACTTAACAACAACAGGGTGTTGCTATAGGATACTCACCAGCCTGCTAACCATTAGCAAGGTCAGAAGTTCAAATCACCAGCTGCTCTGTGGGAGAAAGAGGAGACTTTCTGCTCCCGTAAAGATTTACGGTCTTGGAAACCCTATACAGGGTGGCTATGGGTCAGAATCCACTCGATGGCAGGGAGTTTGGTTTGGCCTGGAGTACTAAGTACCTATCTTTGCCTTCCATAACCTCCAAACTCAACACCTTGAGTTTGTCTTGAGTACCATTTGAATTAAAATCAACTTAGGTGTGGATTGAAAGGCAGCCCAGACTACAACAAATATGAAACAAAAGCACAAAAATAAATAAATAAAACAAAGGTATCTGCGGAGTCAAGAAACAAACAAAAAGGGATCTCCTCACATACCTTCAATCAACCAGACACTTTTTAAAATCCAGAAACACATCCCCTATTATGCAAATCTAGACTTTCCAAGGTGTTAACATAATTCTTTCACAATACATACTCACAACTAACACTAAACAGTCAAGTGTTTAAACAACATATGCTCACTTGTTTGTCTCACCCCAAACCACAGGAATACCCATTGCACTGTAGAGCTCAACACCTCCTTCCTTTTCCTCCCACCCTATTTGCACAATGAACTGCAGCTAAGTTTTAGGGTATTAGTAAAATATGCTGAAGCAGCAGAAATTGGTACAGGATGACACAAAGTTACACAATGGGGCTAGATGTCATCTCAGATGAGACTAATTGTTCCTCTGACAGAGGGAGAAGCCACCAAAGGAACCTCCTCTTGTCCACTCCTTCCAATGAACCCTGTTACTTAACAGGTATCACTGACATTGGAAGTATGCCCCAAGGTAAGATTCAAAGGTAAAAGTATCAAAATGAGGAGAGGTATTTGCATGAGCGGATGATGGGAGACGGTGTCTATCACTGGTGGACAGACAAAGGTGTATGCCTCACTCTCTGCTCCAGGGGGCAGCTTCTTAATGCTGTGGCTGGTCAGAGAGGATGACCTTTCTCTCCAGTTAAGAGAAAGATTCTGTTTCGACAATGACCTAGAAGGAAAAGGTGCTCTACACCTACTTTCCTGGTTTCTCTTCTCTTCATGGTTTCTGGTTCAGAGCCACTTACCTTTTTCTTCTTCTTCAGAATCACTTTCACTCCATCTACTGAAACCATAATGCTCACTTTCTTCTTCTTGATGTTCTTGGCTTTAAATTCATACTGCAAAGGAGAGAAAAACAAAGAAACACAATCCAATTAGATTCGTGCATCTGCACAGTTCCGGTTAGTTCATAGGTTGGAAAAAAGAGGTTGCACACAGCCTATCATGTTGGCCTGTTGCTTTTGTTGTTGTTGTTGTTAAGTGCCATCAAGTTGGTTCCAACTCACAGTTGTATAAGGTTTCCAAGGAGTGGCTGGTGAGTTTAAATTGCTGACCTTGTGGTTCAAACTGACCTTGCAGTCCAATGCTTTAACCCACGGTACCACTCCAGGACTCTGTGTTGGCCTAGCTCATGAGGATATAGAGCACCTCAGGGAACATAAAAGCAGTATATGCCTGCAGTTAGGAACAGGAGTATTATATTGGAATTGTTGTTGCTAAGTTCCGTCGAGTCGGTTCCGACTCAGTGAATCTATATAGCATTTCCGAGCAGCAGCTGGAGGGTTTGAACCATAGACCTTATGGTTAGCAGTCTAGTGTTTATTCTATTGTGCCACACCAAAACTTCTAGGTTGGAACAGAAACTCAAAATGGTCATCAATTCCACTCCTCAATCATCAGGTAGGGCTACTGGAATGAACACAATTTATCTTAATGAGATGAAAATAGCCTACTTTCAAAATCTCATCAGAAATTCAAAACTTACCCTTGATGATTCATTTCACTATTTAACAACTTTTGCTGTTGGGCAAGTTATCCTTGTTGAGCAAGTTTTTCCTGTGGCTAACCAAATGCTACTACAACTCCATTCTATCCCTAATGAAGATTAAGGAGAACTGGCACAATCTTCCATGTCCAGAGTTTTTTTTACTAACTAAAATATAGTCATTAATTCGAAGTTGTTCTCTACAAATTTGGTTCTCAAATTCCTTTAATTATCTGTGGGGCAGTCTCCAAGTCCACCCACAGTTCTATTAGCATGAAGATGGTGGGGCTAGAGTGTATTCTGGCAAGGATCTACTGAATGATAGTCATGAAGAAATAAGTAACTCCTATATTCTAAATTCTTATGTGCAGTCCTGAACAGAGCTGCTCCAACTTCAGCCCTATATGGCTGGTAATGTCGGCCTCATCCTCAATCCCAGATCTTATGCTAGAATATTTGCTCATCCATAGCCATTTCTTAGACTTGTGTAACTATTTAACTGGTAGTATTTTTGTACATTCTCTTCCTTGAATTTCATTCTGAGCATGTTTCCAATTTATTAAAACCATTTTCATCTGGGTCCCATCTTGATATCACCACCTAGAAAACTTGCCTGGTTTGCTCTCTAATAAAAAATTTGGGTTATAGAATTTTGTCTTGTTTTATGTTAAGTGGCAGAGGACTCGTTACAAACACCCACTCTAACCCATAGTGCCCATGAGGCCCACTATTACCAACCGCCACCACCTAAACCTGAGAGACACCCATCCCATAGTTTATGCATCTCAAACTTATCTCTATAGTTAGTGTTTGATAACCTTTAAGACACATAAGAACTCAGAGTAGCCTATACTATCTAAATTCTATCCCTTTCTCTTGAAATATCAGCACATCTTCTCTTATTTTGCTATACAAGATTGCATTGATAATGCCCCCTTGGTTGTCCTTTTCCTATAGATAAGAACATGACCCTGCTAACTAAGGTAACACATTTTTCTCTATATTGTTGGGGCAGGTTTTTGTCCATTCACTACTGATTTGAGTTTCTAAGTGACAGCATCCTATGTCACTCCTCAGTCTGGTGGTCACGAATCTACTTTCTCAATCGCTCTCCACTGTTAAGTAAATCAGTTGCTGTCAAGCTGATTTCGACTCATGGTGACCATGTGTGTCAGAGTAGAACGGTGCTCCACAGGTTTTTCAACAGCTGATTTTCCAGAAGTGGATCTTCAGGACATACTTCTGAGGAACCGCTGGGTGGACCTGAACCTCTTTCTCGGTTAGCAGCTGAGTGTGTTAACTGCACCACCCAGGGATTCCACCCTATCAATAACTCTGCTTTTGATCAAGGGAGTTGAAAGAAGAGTAAATGCAGAGAAACATATGTGAAGGAGAAAAAACTTGAACGTCAGATTCTGCTTCAGCCAGGGAACTCAAAACCAATTAAGAGTAAGAAGAGAGAGAAGCAGGACATCTGACAAGATGGAGTGGTGAAGAAGACAACAGAACTAGAGTCTGGCTCAAGGCAGGACTTCAACCTTGTGTCAAATTTCTCTTTCGGTCAGTGGCAACCAGCCAACGAAAGCTCAAGTTGTGTCTGACTGGCATGCACTTTAGGGTAAGGCTAAAATTTGCAATGTGTACCTCTAACTGCATCATTAGGAGCAATTCTAAATGAACTGAAATTACTTTTGGGTGGGAGAACCAGCATGAGACTCTGCAAGTTAGCTGACTTTGGCCTTGTGCCTACTGGGAGAGGCGGACCAGCTATATTTCCTGACCACACCTGCATTTACCTCCGCTCACATAAGCCTTCAATAAACACCCTTCAACTGTACTTCCCTTCTGACCAGGTCTCTAAAATTATGGTACCTCCTGCTAGTTAAAGGGAGTGCTTAAAAGGGTACATTATTAATTATGAACTCAGATGAGCGTTTAGAGTCCCTGAAATACCCAGAGGTGGACAAAACTTGCCCTAGACAAGTCAGTGCTTGACTGTTGTATTGTCTTTGGTCTCTTCTAGTATGCTTCATTCATAAGCTCCATATAGTCTTTTTTTAGCATCAGAAACAAAGCAGCAAATATTAAGAACCTCCCTCTGCTAGGCACAGTGTTTTTCTCCCCAGCCCTAGTTTCAGAGAGCATTTTATCGCTAAGTCAGATCCCTAAATGTATCTTATTTCTAGGAGAATCTTGTAACTGAACACATCTCTTTCTCTTTTGTCAGGTTTGACTATTCTCTGGGACTTGTTTACTCAAGATCTCTCTCCCCCCCTCCCAACCCCAACAAGCCAGCTCACTCTCTGAGTACTAAAGTGTAACTATTTCTGTAGTGTTTTGACAACGTTGGCCATGCCTTTTAATATCCTGATCTATAAACGCAACAGACAACTAAACTTTCTCACTGGGACTGGAAAATAGCCTCTAATTTGGTTTGTGCACATGCTCCCAGCTGGCTCTTTCAGGGTCTTTTTGCAGAGTGACCATAAGGGAAAGCATGGCCAAATGGTTTCCTCTAGAATCTTAATGACAGGGACAACACAGGTGCACCTTACAGCAGCTGGTACAATGCTCTGGAGGGCTTTAAAATGAAGGCAGCATGAACTAGGACTCCTGATCCCATCTAAACTGCCAGTTCTACCTGAGTGCTTTTTATAAGGTTGGATATACTCTGCATCGTTTCCACCTGCCCATTGGTCAGATGTCCCAACTGCTTTTTAGCTGAAAAATTACTACCCAAATTGCAGTTCTATTGGAAATCATGAAATGGAAAGAAAATAAAGTATCTGAAATTTTTAAATGTTTTTTATCATTAAATAATTTGTTTATAGGGCAATTGCACTTCACTTGGATAACCAGGTACATAATGCGCTCATTCCAGGGAGAGAAAATGGATTTGGAGAGAGGGGAGGTAATGGAAATGACCAGAACAAAGGGGAGAAGGGACTCACAGGGACAGGCCCTCTTTTTCCCCAGTCTGTGTTGCTCCAAGGTGGAGACCTGCCCAGGCAGGCGGTTCAAGAGGAGCATCTGTGTTCCAGGGGATGGAGATCCAGTCTGCTTAGGTTTTGCCTGAGGCTGATGACCAAATAGGACTGCTGGTGCCACCAATTGCAGCTTAAGCCAGCCTGCCAACAAGCCCATGCCAACCCTGGAGTTTATGTCAGCAATTTTGGCCTCTTCACCCAATGTGGACAGGCCAACCTGGTACATTTGCTTTGGTAGTCAAGAGCCCCACCAGCAACAAGAGATTAAGTCCTACAGGGCATGAACTTTTAGGGACTAACACAATACAAAGTCCCTGAACACCAACTGCTGACCAGAAAGAATGACCAAGTTACAGTGTTTGCACAGAGCCTCAGAACCCTGTATTATGCTATCAGCCCTGGAACTTAATGTACTGTGCCAACCAGTGAGGCTCACCAAGGAAGGCTGGGCAGGGAAAGGGGCTCAGATCCAACAGGAGCCAAGAGTAAATACTCCACAAGTGGTATGAGTAAGTTAGCATTGACTGCAAGTCAGAAAAGTGCTGACAGACCAGCCATCTGGTTTCTCAATGTCTTCTGACTTCCCCAAGCTTCATTTTCCCTGAATCTCAGAGCTGCCTCCTCCGAAGCCTGTGTCTCAGTACCAGCCAGTGTCTGAGAAGGGAAGCAGAGACCAGCAAGAGCTCAGAAAGAGAAACAGTCAACGAAGTATTTAATGAAAGGACCAGCTAAACCTTGGGCTGGAGGCTTTACTGAAGAAATAAATGGCTTTCTTAGGGGTGTGGCCTGCTCCCAATATAATGGCCACGAAGGAGGAACTATCTCTCTTCCACTGGGGATCTGAGACTCTGCAATTGTGAGCCATTTCTTGGTAACAAACTTCTCTTTATATAAGCATCTATATGTTTTGCTGGCTTTGTTTCTCTAGAAAACCTGGCCTAAGATACATATCATACTTTTTAATACTTCTATGTTATTGCATTTACTGTTCCCTAAGCCTAGCAACTCTGTAGCGTAGTGGTTACGAATCAGCCTGCGAACCACAAGGTCACAGTTTGAAACTACCAGCTGTTCCGCAGGAGAAAGATGTGGCTTCTGCTCTCATAAAGATTTACAGCCTTGGAAATCCCGTACAGGGTCCCTATGAGTCGGAATCGACTCCGTGGCACATAACAACAACAACAAAGCCTAGGGTGCCTCTCCTCACTGTCTTCCTGGTGAATGCCTGCTTATTTTCAAAATGCCAGCTCTGACTTCTCCATAGTGAAACCTTGCAGGTCAACTCCATTGTCCCATGTCCTCCCAAAGAGCTGTCCATTCACTTGGTTACTGCAGCAATGTGCAAGGATTTGTGATCACTCACTGA